CATATGCCGGCTGAGACCCCTGGCCTCCAGGACTCCTGGGAATGGGGAGGGTGCAGCCCCGACGTGGACTATGGGGAGAAGTTTTCCAAGGATTTCCTCGATTCCCGGGAAACCTACAGGGACATCCATTCTCGCATGAGGCTGCACAACAACCGCGTGGGTCGGCAGGTGAGTGGGGCGCTGGGCAGGGGTGTGGGGCGATGGTGGCAGGGACACACGCAGAAGGGCTTTGAGGGGCTCGTGCTGGCTGCAGGTGGGACATGTGTGTGAGGCTGGGGTTGCCCCCAGGGCACCCCTCTCCCCAGTTTTGCCCAGAGCGAAGGCAGTGGGGCAGCCCTGCTGCCAAGCATCTCTGCTGGGGAGGGCACCTCTGAGCATTGCTGCTGTCCCCCTGTCAAGGGACACTTCCCCAGGCAACTGTCACCTGCTTGTGCTGTAGCAGTGCTATGGGGGTTGTCACGGCAATGAGTCCAGCTCCTCCTGCCTCCTGGGGACTGGGTGAACTGGTGTTGGGCAGCTGCAGCGGGAGGGAGCTACGGACAGGGAGGAGAAAGTCCTGGCATCATGGGGACACAGCACGGGCTCCGCAGCACAAGCCACGGCTCTGCCTCCAGAGAGGGGGATGGTGCCCTGAGGATGCAGATGGGAGTGGGACTGAGCCAGGCAGCGGGTGCCTGTGCCAGCTGGGAAGGGCAGCATCCCCTCAGGAGTGGAGGTGACAGCCCACAGCCTCATCCCCCTTCTCCGAGGGGGTGCTGGAGCCTGCCCAGGCGAGCAGGGCAGCCTCCCCTCCACTCTCATGATGTCAGGTCTGGTTAAAGGTGCTAATTAGTAGCTCGCTCTGTCTGGAAGCTGATGTTTCAAAGCAGCCTGACATTGGAGACAAGAAGCGTGCAGGCAGGAGGGGCTGGGAGGACGGCTGCGTTTCCCTGCCTGCTTTTGCTCCCAGCAGGTGCCAGGGAGACCCCATCGCATGGATCCAGTGGGACATTTGTCCCCAAGACCCCAACCACATACTGCCAGGGCCATGCAGGGGCCTGTGTAGTGGCTGCGGGAATAAGTAATTAAAGATCAGAATTCCACAGGGAGTGTTTCCCTGGGATGGCTCAAATGTTTGGATGTGCCTCTTGCTTTGAGCATGTTTAAAGGCAGCTGTGAGATGGGGATGCTGCAGAGCAGGACCTTGATGTGTGCCTGCACCTTGATGTGTCCCTGATGCTGGAGCTGAGCTTTACCACTCAAGAAGCAGCCATCCCAGTTTGTCCAATCTGTAAATGCCTGGGGAAAGCTGAAGCTTTTTGCTTGTTTGGCTTTGTTAGCTTGTGCACGGTGAAGGCTTGCTCAGTCTTAGGCAGCTAAATCCTCCACAGGCTGCTTTGCCCCAATCCAGGCAAGACCCCCTGTCCCAATTCTGGCTGCAGGACTCATCCTGGCCTCCCCTCTGTCTCTGCGTGCCTCAAACCACTGGGACTCTCAGCAGTGCTCAGAAATTTGGGGCCTGCATTGCCTGTTTCCCAAGGAAAGCCCCACAGCCCCCTGCAGAAGGAGGGGAAGGTGAGAGAGGAGTATTTGCACAGGGGTTATGTCACCATACAGTGCCTGTGGGATACAGCAACAGCAAAGATGCCTGGGGTCTGCTTGTCCCCAGGTGCAGGCTGCCACAGTACTGGCAATGTCATCTCTCGGCGGCTTCAGAGGCAAGAGCAGGACTGACGGGAGAAGCCTGGGAGCTGGAAGCAGGGGCAGAGGAGGACCAAAGGGGTGAAGGAGAGGATGGTACCAGCGTGGGTGGGTAAGCAATGGTCAGACAGAGTGCCTAGCTCAGGGGCCCTGTTGCGATGAGGGTATGAGCCCATCTTCAGGTTGGGCTGTGATGGTTGTGAGCACCATGTGTTGGAGCAAGGAGGTGGTGCTATGCCTGGCCTGTGCCCATTGATGCCACAGTTATTGCCGGGGTTGGATCTGGCTCTCCGTGTTCCCTGAGGTTGGGTTCTCCATCTCCCTGCCTGCTTTTTTAGCAACACCTACCCAAGCCCTCCTCACTCCTTAGACCACCTTTCTGCTGTAGTAAGGAGCAGTCTGCTGAGATTTCCCAGGAAAGGAGCAGCTGTTCTGGATGTAGAAGCACTGTGGTCCTCCCCTCCAAGTCCTGAGGCTTGAACCCCTTGAGCAGAACGCTGATGTGGACACACATGCCATGTGCCATGCCCTGACATGCACCATCCCTCTCTGTGCTCTGAGCAGCTGCAGCACCCAGGGCTTTCCGGCACCTCACTGATGCTGAGCATCCTCTCTGCGGTCCCTGTGTGTCCCAGGGGTGCTTTAAGTGTGGGTAAGCCTGGCTCCCAGCTCAGACCCTGCCGTGCCAGGGGGAGGTGACAAACCCAGCAATGGCCACATCAAGTGACTATAGGATGTGGGTTTCTGTAGTGTAGTGGTTATCACGTTCGCCTGACACGCGGAAGGTCCCTGGTTCGAAACCAGGCAGAAACATATTCTTTTGCATCCAGCTACGAAGCTGGGGAGGAGATTGCAGCTGCAGGGGATGCACAGCATCCTCTGAAGGTGGCAGTGGTCACCTTGGTCTTGAGTAAGCCCCAGGGCAACCAATGAGGTTGCCTAGAGGCTTCCTATCCCGACTCAAGGCTGAGGTGGGTGTCCTGCATCCCTGTGAGGGAGCAAGTTCCCCCGCAAGCAGCAGCAGGAGATTGCAAGAGGTGTTGCAGGTCTCATGAACCCGCCAGATCAGAGAGCAAGAGAGGATGAAAGGCAGCCAGGAACTACCCATTACCCTCACAACAAAGACCTACGATAAAGCTCTTATGAGCGTGTCTGGGAGGAGCTGGGAATGTGCGAAAGAAAGCACCAGCGAGTCCGGGCATGTGCCGAACTCAGGTGTCTGTGAGAAGGGGGAAGGACATGGCCAAGTAGGTGTGTGTGGAGGAGATCCGACAGCAAAAGCATGAGGCCGAGGCTCAGATGGGTCCTTCTTGGGTCTCCTGGCTCTGGCAAGGTCCTGTCCCCCCTGCTCTGCCCATGCAGGAGGGAGAACAAGCCATCCCTGGGCCGGGATGGATGGGTGCTGCAGTGCTTGGGGATGCTCAGCAGTGATAGCTTGGGTGATGGAGATGGCACACACATGCTGCCTTCTCCAGCCCCTGATGGGATGAGCTGTAGCCCCAGATGAGCCCCTGTCCAGCTGTCACACCACTCTCCCCTCCATCCTGCTGGTGACCGTCCCAGCCACAGCCCTGGATGCAGATTTTCCCTGGTCCAGCCAAAGGAGCAGGGAGGGGATGCAGGAAGGGATGGGGTCCCAGTGCCAGCATGTTCCTGCGGATGGTGGTAAGGACAGTGGCAAGCAGCTGGTGTTCCCAGCCAGCACACCCAGGGCATGGTGGAGAGGCCGGGCAGCTCATTACCTGTGAGGTGGAGGCTGTTCCCAGCAGGAGACAGGACTCTCAGCAGGATGAAAGCCAAACTCCAGCCCAGCCCAGACCTCTCTGCCGTGCGCCCCAGCTCCAGGCGTGTTTCCCTGACCTGCCTTTATTACCATAACTGCTTAGCAACGGGGAGATTTACTCAAAAACAAGAAAACAAGGAGTAAAAACTACCCACTCCTACCAAAACAAGGCACTCCTCACACATGTGTGCCCCCCAGGGAGGGGGCAGGAACAAGCAGAGCGTGTCAGGCGTGGAGCCAGGTGGCCGGGCAGGGCTGGCATCGTGAGACGGGACCTTGTGTGGGGCCACTTGTCCCCTGGGCTCCCCCAGAGCCTTGGAGTGTGGCCCTGGGCGGGGGATCAGCCTGCGACAGTCTTTGCAAGACCCAGTGCAGGTACCAGTGGGAGGCAGCACCTCAGCTGCCTCCCCAGTGCTGCACCCAGGGCTCCCCTAGGAAAGCAGGCAGGAGCCAAAAGCAGAGCTGCTCCTGGGACTCCCGGAGCTGGGCCTTTATGGGAGGAAAGCCCTGTGGAGGGAAAAATCATCCCTCCTGCGTGCCCTGCTCATAGTGCTCTTGGCTGGCGAGGTCTGGGGGGGACCCCTGCCCTGGGGGTCCCAGTGGGGCTGCAAAGATGCAGCTATGCCAGCTTTGAGGGGGGCCTGTGGTCAGATTGATGCTGCTGGAGCCAAGCAGCAGTGGAAGGTGAGGTCCAGGCTGCTTCTCCTGCCTGTGGTCAGGTAGCTCACCCTCTCCTTCAAGTGTCGATCCGTTGCTGGAGTGTAAAAGCCATTTGGTACTGCCAGGATGGGAAGGGACAAGGTGTGGGACATGGCTGACACTGGGCACAGCACCAGCATGCAGCCTCACTGACTTTGCAGCTCCAGGGCTCTGATGGCTGCTCACACCAGCCCATGATGTTCCCATAGTGTTGAGACACAGAGAGCTCTATGATGACTTCCCCAGTCCCCAAAACCATTTCCTCCATGCTAACCCTTCTGCCCTTCCCTCCCGGCTTCCCTCCCTGCGCAGGTGGTGATGGACAACATGAGGAGGAAGTGCAAATGCCACGGCACCTCAGGGAGCTGCCAGCTGAAGACGTGCTGGCAGGTGACACCGGAGTTTCGCCTGGTGGGGTCCCTGCTCAAGGACCGCTTCTATGGGGCCACCCTCATCCGGCCCCACAACCGCAATGCCGGGCAGCTGGAGCCTGGCCACGCTCGGCATCGCCGCCGGGCCGGCATCAGCGAGCTGGTTTACTTTGAGAAGTCACCCGACTTCTGCGAGCGAGAACCAGCCCTGGACTCCTTGGGAACCCAAGGGCGCCTGTGCAACAAGACCAGCCCGGGCATGGACAACTGCGAGAGCCTGTGCTGCGGCCGTGGGCACAACATCCTGCGGCAGACGCGCAGCGAGCGCTGCAACTGCAAGTTCCACTGGTGCTGC